GCCGCCTGGGCCCCGCGCAGGCGCCCGGCCAGGGCTTCCACGTGGAGCTGGAGCTTCAGCTGGAGGGCGGGCTGCGGCTCGGCGCCGAGCAGCTGCCCCTCGAGCTCCCAGCACCAGAGCGCCTCGTCGGCCAGCAGCACGCACTGCGCCGGGAAGGCGCCCGCCAGCCGCCCCCAGTGCTCGGCCAGCAGCCGCAGCGGGAGCTGGCGGCCGGCCCCGCGCCGCTCCAAGCTCTTGTGGAGCAGGGGGCGCAGGGCCAGGCTGGCGGCCACGCACTCCTGCAGCAGGCTGCTCAGCGTGTCCCTCACGCAGCTCTCCAGGGCGCACAGCCAGCCGTCCACCCTCGGCGCCAGCGGCAGCGGCGGATCCAAGGGCACCGTCTCCCCGTAGGCGCCCACCAGGCTCGTGGCTTGTGCCGGCGGCTGCAGGGTGAGCAGCTCGGCGTGGTCGGCGACGGAGGGCTTGTGGAAGAGGAGGCTGCGCACGCCGGGGAAGCAGCGGCAGGCCCAGGCCGTCGCCTCCGCCGGCTCGGAGGCCGCCGCTACCACGGCCACCGCCTCGGCGTCGCTGAGGAAGAAGAGGCGCGGGAAGCTGACGCGCGCCGCCTCCAAAACGTACTGCACGCTGTCCACCAGCGACTGCAGGGCTCTGGCACCCTCGCTCAGCGCGGCGTGCAGGGCAGCGCCGACGAGCTGGCCGTCCCGTCGAGACGTGGGCGCGGGCATCACGCTGGAAAGCACCAGCGGGTCCCTGTACGTCACCTGCATGAGCTCCCGGAACCAGCCGTCCTGCTGCTGGAACAGGCCGTCCTAGCACAGAGGAGACAGCGTGAGACCCCGAGAAGCAGGGGACGGGCAGAGGGTGCCCTGCAGAGCAGAGGAGGAGGAATGGATTCAGGACAGCCCCGCTCGGAAGAACTGCTCCGCTCCCGTTTGGAAGAACTGCCCAGAACGTGACAGCTAATGCAATGCGAGGAGCTCCACGCTCCAGGGCTGGGGCATGTTGTGCGGGAGAAAGAAAATCACCCGGGTTGGGAATGAATGTCCTATTGGAAKGTCCTATTGGAGATGTGGGAGGTGTGACAGAGAAGAGGGAGAGGATCCCTGCCCTGGGGCTGGAACGTGTGTAGGGAATCACAGAATGCCAGGATGGTTGAGGTTGGAAGGGACCTCTAGGGATCATCCAGTCCAACCTTCCTGCTCCAGCAGGGCCACCCAGAGCAGGTGGCACAGGGTGGTATCYGGGCGGGAAGGGAACCTCTTAGCTCTGCTGGGATGCAGAAATGAAGGCAGGAGGAGACCGCCTAGGTCTAGGGAGCAGAGCAAGACGTGTACATAGGGCACAGACATGCACGTCCTCTGGAGGGGAGGACAAAGCCGTCCGGACAAGCAGAGATGAAGGTCCTTACCAGCTCACTGCTGGGCAGGATGATGTCCATCTCATACAGAACTTTGTTCAGAAATATCCACTTCTGCTGGAAACTGATCCACGCGTCCAGAATAGTATCTGGGGAGACAGGAGAGGGGCTGAGCACTCTGAGGGAGCCTCCAGGGCCAGCTCCTTTCTGGGGSCTCCCAGGGCACCAGTCCAAAGATCTGAGCTCTCACCAAAGGTCCTCAGGGCAAAAATCCAGGTGTCCACCTCATCCTGGATCTGTGCAGCGTGCAGAGAGGAGCCGATGTTCTGCAGCGTTAACAGGCTTCTCTCCGTCAGGGCTTTGAGCTCTGTGGTGTCTGGAACGAGGGGGAGACTGGCTGAAGTTCTGGGCACCCAAAGGCAGACAGGGGCATTGGCTGAGTAGCACGGTGGCGGATGCAGAAGCTGCCCAAGGTTCATCCTAACCAGCAGCTTGAGCAGCCCGGCTCAGAACGCTCCCTCGGTCCCGTGTGCCTGGGCTGGGACAGGCGGTGAGGACGCAGCAGGGACGTGGGCTCGCAGAACCTCTTGTGAGGCCGGTGCCGGGCCCGCGGGAACTGCCAGAGCTACCCAGAAATGCTCCCTCGGCGGGCAAGCAGAAACCCCAGCGACACTTCACCTGGCACCTCCGCTCAATAGCTCTCATTCTTCCCAGTCACATTCCCTCCCCTAGTCTTGGCTCTCCTGGACAGTATTTTTGTCCTCTTTACAACACCAGCTCCCCACTGCCCCGGCCGTTCTCTTTTAATGTAGTTTATGTTCTTGTTCCTTGGTCTTCAGTGGCACAACTCTGCCTGAGATGAGYTTTCATCAACACTTTGCACTTTCCTGTCCCTTCAGAAATCCCACGCTAGGACGGCATTTCTCAGTAATCTACCTCCCTACAGTCACCAACAGCACAACCAAGGCTTTTCTCTTCTATTCTTCCATAGTCTCTAGTTTCAAGGAGAAAAGATGATGATTGCTAATAACTGGAAGGTATCCAAAAGACTGTGACAGCAGGAAGTGTAATGACAGCGAAGAAGCCTGAAAATCCCCATACAAATRTCACCTCACCCTGCGATGCCAGGAGCAGAATTCCAGGTACAATTACTGCCTGTTGTGGAACAGGGAGCTGGCAGGAGCTGCATCGGTCTTGACTTGACGCTGAAGAGCAAGGACAACCTCATTCAAAATGCTAAGGTAAAGAACCACGCTGTAAGGACCATAACACAGTTACAATATCCTTACAGGGATGAGAAATGTCAAAACCCATCACAGGGGGACTTGTTTCAAGAAGGGAAGCTGCATAAAATGATGAAACTGGTTTTAAACAATCAACAACAACAGCAGCAGCAGCAAGCAGAGCATCCTAGGGGTTAGACCCTTTCCGATGGCCCGGCAATGCTGAGGGGTCAAAGCAAAGGCTTGAGGAGAGGCAAAGGGAATCCGGCCTGGTTAAAAGCAGAGAGGATCGAAGAGCAAGGAGATGTCATTCAAAAAGCTGCAGGTATTTATAGCAAGGAAAAAAAGGTGTCAGAATAATTTAAGCCACACACAAAACAAAATAAGAACGTGAGGAACAACTTGTGAGTGCAGGTGACTGATTYGTGCAGCATGATAAGGATCAAAGACGTCTATAAAGATGACAAAGAAGAGAATGAGGGCRGACAGCGAGGAGCTGAGTATTTGCTCTCTGAGTACAAGCGCCAAGGGGCATCAGAACAAGCTGGTGCAAATAATGGGTTAAATCCATCTAAGACTGTTGCCTCAGCATCACACAGTTTAACTGGCAGCCAGTCACCAGTGTCTCCTAAGGACTGACACCGGGACCAACGGTGGTTAACGTCCCTAGGGACGGCCTGCAAGAGGGGATACCGTGCACAGCCCGCGAGTCTGCGGAGGACAAGGAGCTGGGGAGAGTGGACGGCGTGCTGGGGGACACGACTGCGTTCACAGCGACCGAAGCAACAGCGGGGCTCTAACTCGAAGCATCAGCTTCCTCTTCCCTAAGGACAGGCTCCAAGGTCAAACCGGCTATTTCCATCTGCAAGGAGGAGATGGGAGGAACACCTCGGTGAGGAAGGAGCATCTGCAGAGCCCCGTGTTGGCACGGACGCCTTTGACAGGAGGAGCCAGCTGAGCGATGGGGAGCAGTGAAACCAGACACGCTTTTGGACTGGGGAGCCCAGTGAAACGTCTCCACGCTGGCGCCGTAACTGGGACAGTTCCTGGGAGGGCAGGGGACGGAGAGCCTGGTATTTCTTCCCTTCGCCCAGATTATCTCGGCTGGTATGACTGCTGCAAGGGGGTCCAAGCTATTATAAGCCACCCCGGGTCCTTCTGCAGTGCAAAGGTGATGTGTGCTGACGGGCAGGCGTGGGCATCAGCCTCATCTGCGCGAGGAGAACGCGGCTYTGCTCCCGGCCGGCACGCAGCCTTCCTCCGCAGAAGCCAGTCCTGGCCTCAATGCACTCCCACCGCCCCTGGGCCCCTCCTGTGCTCCCRACAGGACTCACCAGACAGGACGTACGTGCCGCTGTCCTTGGAAAGGTATTCTTGCTCGAGGGGCTGGGTGGCTGGATGCGAGGAGCACTCGGGAGCTTTTGTTTTCAGGATGAAGTTGACCAGGCGGAAGCTCTTCTCCCTCCAGATCCTCTGCAGCTGGTGCCACATGTCTCGGGAGCTGTGACGTGCCTGCTCGTTTGACCAGATCTGCAGGCACCAAACACAAGGTGGGGAGAGCACCCGGAGAGGGGCACGGTCACGGCCACCCCCGCGGCAGCACGGGCGTCCTGCGGGACTCGGCCAGGCCAGGATCGCTGTTCTGCAGACAGCTCCAGGCTCCCATGGAGTCTCTGCATCCTTCATAACGCTTCCACCCTGCTACGCCACACACTTGGAAACGGACAGGGAATCTCACGTCGCATTTGGCTTCTGCAGCTGCCTACTGTGGTGCCCGGCAGCACTGCCCAGGGAGGAACCGAGCGCAACGTGTGCCAGGCTGAGCTCAAAGTCCCCCTGAAGCCCACACACACACCAAGCTGCACAAAGGCACGGGCAGCATCGCGCCCTGCCGCAGCCCCTGGCAGAACCCCCGCGTGCCGGAGGGATTACCGCAGCTCTCTCCCGCAAGGCTCAGGAACCAGCAGCTGGAAGTGCCGCTTACCCTGCAGATCGTGCCGTGGTGCTCCAGCAGCGGATAGGACATCAGCTGGCCTACAGTGAAGTGCAGGCTGATGGGGCACGTGAGGCCCATCGCTGAAAAAGAGCACAAGGAAGCGCTGCGGCATTCCTTGACGGTCTACATGCAAGTACAAGGAGGCTCTGCAGGGACTACAAGAGAACACAGACCTCCAGTAGCTGCACACAAAATGCACGATCAGCACAAAATGYAATATTGAATAAGGTTTAAATGTGATGTTAAGGACAGAGACTCCACAACCTCTCTGGCCCCTGATCCACAGTTTGACAGACCTTACTGTAAAACACTTTTTTTTTTTCTTATGCTTAAATGGCATTTCATGGATTTCAGTTTCACAGAATCACATAACGGTGGAGGTCGGCAAGGACCTCTGCAGATCTAGTCCAACCTGCCTGCTCCAGCAGGGACACCCTGAGCCTGGGGCACAGGGCGGCATCCAGACGGGTTTGGAGACCTCCAGAGAAGGAGACTCCACAGCCTCCCTGGGCAGCCTGTGCCAGGGCACTGTCACCCTCACAGTGAAGAAGATCTTACTCATGTGGATATGGAACTGCCTGGGTTTTAATCTGTACCCACTGCCCCTTGTCCTGTCACTGGCSACCACTGAGAAGAGCYTGGCCCCTTCCWCCCTACATTCCCCCTTCATGAACTTATCCATGTTAATCAGATCTCCTCTCAGCCTTCTCTTCTCCAAGCTGAACAGGCCCAACTCACTCAGTCTCTCTGACTTCAGCCTTGCTGAGGTCAAGGTAGACAACATCCACAGCTCTCCCATCATCTATCTAGCTCGTCATCCCATCGTAGAAGGCTACGGGGCAGCCCATCAGGTTGGTCAG